ACACACACACACACACACACACACACACACACACACACACACACACACACACACACACACACACACGAATGAAACGCGCACATAACACCTGGTCAAGAAAGGCGTCCACATACATGTAGAATGTTATTAGAGTGGTTGAGCGCGGCCCACCCTCAATGACGCAAGGCCATTCCGTCTCAGGCCAGAAAAAAGTGCAACTAGGTAACCAACAGCTTTTGCGAGGGGGGCGCTTCAACAGCTGGCGGGTATGATTATGATTATGATTTAGTATTTGCAATGTGGAAGAAACGAAACGACGACTGTAGGGAGAAAGGCGGAGGGGGAGGGGGGGGGGGGGATGGGGAGGGGAGAAAGACCTGGACGGTCTTCTCTCCGCCTCCCACGCTTCCACACTGGTTCGGTCACTTCGGTGTGTGCCAAATTTCCAATGACTGCCGAAGAGGTCACAGATCCACCGAGCTGGTTCGCTTTCTGTGTACGCCTCCCCCGCATCTCCCATTGCGCGTCCCTTGTTTTGCTCATGAGCCGACCATGCTGCGAATACAAAGCACGGTCATTGTGGCTGCATTTGGGGCAACTTTCAGTCACCGAGAGAGTGACCGTGCGTTCAATTCGCAGGAAGACAGTAGTCTTTCGGCACGTGGTTGGGTAATCATGCTCCCCAAAGAGCTAAGGACAAAAAGCTTTCAGATTGATAGGTACCATCAACAGACCCTCACCTCCATCAGTGATTCTGACGTCAACAGTGAGAGACCTGACCGTCCAATCAACAGAGGATCGCGGCGCCACTCATCCTCCAATCAACCCCAATAACACGAGGGAGATGATCTAATCATCATCCAATCAAACGACCGGAATGCTGCTGCTGCCACAGAGCGCTTTGCGCTCTCCGTTAAACGAGACAATACGAAAAGGGAATCGGGGCCATACTCACGCACATAGTTCCATGAAACCATACGATCGTTATTGCGTCCAGATGCAGTCGAGAAAGCCATAGTATAGCAATGAGTGTATGCTCTAAAGCGCTTTTGAAAATGGAGCCAGCCTGGAATTGGAATCGCCACAACCATTGTCGATCATCGTCGATCATCATCATCATCATCATCATCATCATCATCATCATCATCATACTCATCGATCATCACCATCATGTAATATCATCGCTTGTCGTCACATCACCATCATAATCCTCCTCCTCATCATCAAAATCATAGATCATCGCCATCGTCACCATCAGCATCGTCATCGATCATCGTCGTTATCATTAGCGCACGACAATCATCATCAACCATCGATCATCATCATCGCTCATCGTCATCATCATAATCATCGATCATCATCCTTATCATCATCGCTCATCTCCATCATCATTATGATCCATCATCAACCGTATCATCATCGCTCATCGCCATCATCATCAATCATCATAATCGTCGATCCTCATCTTCACCCTCCTCCTCCTCCTCCTCCTCCTCCTCGATCATCATCCATCATCACCATCATCGATCACCGATCATCGCTATCATCGTCATATCATCATCATATCATCATATCATCATCATTCTGGACCTCAAATTACCCGGGTCCTGTCAATCCGCCATGCGGCACTAGATATGGCCATCGTTGTAAAACTGTATAATATATTAATACTGAGTCTGGGTTGACTTAAAGAACAAGCTTAGACCCAACCGAGTGTGGAGCAATGAATATCTAAAGCTGGCCCCCTTTCAAAAAAAACAACCAGCTAGTTAATTAATGAAGCCTTCTTTTTCCTTTTTCATCAAATTTGGACCATTTCTCGATTTTGTATTCGTGTCATCCTTGCGCAGGGGTCATGCTAATCTTCTTTCTCTGTATCGTTCCATTTTTTAACGAAAGGAAGCCTTTTGATTATGGGCCTCGCCACACCACTCTCGAAATGTGAAAAAGACAAAAAATTGGCGGGCGTATCTGGCCATGTTCTAGAGGGAAGTTCATTTTCATTTTGCACATTTCGAGAGTGGTGTGGCGACGCCCTATATATATATAGCAGAAGCTCTCCTGTCCAGAGAGAGGCCTCGAGGTGCGC